AACGTTCAATTTGTGAAAAGGAACTAAGGAAAAGTTTAGAGCCAGGTTAATCCCAGTACTCAGGAGGCAGAGGCTGCCAGATCTCTGAATTTGAGGTCAGCCTGGTCTACAGAGCAAGTTTCAGGACAGCAGTGAAGGACAAAAAGCTGTTGAAGATATAATTGAATGAGGGGGCCAATGTTCCAGCCCCATCACACAGCAGAACTCTGTATCTTTGGCCACATGATTCTGGGTTTAGAGAAAAGAATAGAAGAAAGGAGTTATGGAATAAAATTGCTGATGTCATGAATGTGTCATGGGTGTTCCTGAATGGAGGCCTAGTAGAGACATCATTGCATGAACCTCTGAAGTTGAAGCCTGGATTGCCTTGGAGGACCCAAGATGTTAGAGCTGTTAGAGTTGTGGAATACCTGCCAAGGAAAACTGCTACCAGGTAGTAGAACAAACCCGAGAAAGAAGTGTGTTGTAGTTAATAAAGATGAACAGAGTTGGAGATCAGAAGAGTGTTTTGACATCAGACATGGAGATGAAAAGTTTGGAGTTTGCTCAGATGGTTTTTGGTATTGCTTTGGTCCAATATTTCCTTACTATGCTTCCTTCCCTACATTTGTAATGATAATGTCTATCCTATACCATTGTATGTTGGAAGTATGTGATTTATTTTTTGATTTTGATTTATAGGAGATTATAGTAAAGGGATTGCATGAAGCTCACAAGAGACTTTGAACTTTGAAACATTGCTGAGATTGTGATAGACTATGGGGACTTTTGAAGTTGTACTAAATGCATTTTGCATTATGATATTGTTACAAACTTATGGGACTCAGGGAGTGGAATGTGGTGGTTTGAATATAATTGGTCCCAAAAGCTCATAGGGAGTAGAACTATTGGGAGGTGTGGCCTTGTTGAAGTAGGTGTGGCCTTGAAGGAAGTGTGTCGCTGTGGAGTCAGGCTTTGATGTCTCTTTTTGATTTTTCACAGCAATAGTAATCTTAACTAAGACAGAACTCTTATAACAAATTCATCATGAAACATTAGAGAAAAATGGCCATTAATCAGTTTATTTTCTTGAGTGTTTATGGCCTGGCCTCTTCTGCTTTGGGACAGGTGTGATAGTGTGCTGAGTTGCTCCATCATGGATGATGTAAGTTCTACCCACTGCTATCACTGCACAGGTCACGTGATTACTCTCCACCTGAGCCTTCTGCCCAACCACAGTGTGCTCACATTCCTGAAGTGCAAACTCTTCTTAAATTTTAATGGGAACACTGATAAATAATTAAAAAGTATACCCCAAAAATTATATGTTAAAATGTACTAGATATTTGTGACCATTATAAAGCACAGTGAAAATGGATACAGAACATGATAAAATTCTTTCATAATATTTTAATACTACTAAAATGAACACAAGCTCCAGAAAATAAAGTTAAATGAATCTTATTGGCTATGCGGAAGAATTAACTTGTTTGATACAGAGTGTATGTAATTGGTAAGGCAGATATGGTTGATGAAATTTTTTTCTTTTATCAAAAAACCCTGACTTCATAATAAGAATTTAGAAACACTAATGAGAATGTATTGAGTTTAGCTATATCTTTTCCTGTTTTCCTCTAACTACTTCTAGCCTTTATTCAATGAGAATCTACCTAATATGTAAAGAATTTCCAATATAGTACTGATACAATACTTTGTATATTGAACAGAAAGTTGGAAGAGGCAGAGTACCAATAAAACAGTTATGTCTGAGGTTTACAGGTCACAAGCATATGGCACCAGCAACTTCATTGGAAACAGTACAGTATATATTTGAAGAGGTAAGAACAGAGATGAATAAGTTGAAATAGACTTATCCATTAAATGGATAGAGGAATAGGAGATTTCAATGTAGAAGTTGTGAACAGTAAAGATACCTACATCATCCCAAGATAGAGATTTGCTGGGTGGAGAAGACAAATTATGTCAAAAGACTGTAGGTAAAGAGTGAGAAACAATAGGTAGTTTTAACTTAATATAGCAAGTAGGCTGTAAGAAAAGCATTGATTAGAAAGTCAACGATTCTAGTTTGGTCCAAGGACATTAGAGAAGCAGATAGCAACATGAGAGACACAAAAAGGAAGATTTCTTAGTCCACAGTGACTCAAAGAATGTGGGAGTAGAGGGACTTACAAAAATAACTTTAATTTAAACAATGCTTCATCAAGACATCAAGACTCTTTTTTCCCAAAATGATGAGGTGTCCAGGAGATAACCAGTACTATGTATTTATCTCCATGACTAACAAAGAACCAAATTATTTTAGAACATTTTTTCATATATAATAGTAGCTTTAAACCCCTTTGTTCTATCATCTTTACTCTCCCTTTCCTGTATATGAAAACCCCATGATTGGAAATCAGGTCTTCATAAGACCATACCAGTAGGGTCACCACACTCCTCAGTCACAGAAATCTGACCTTAAGTCAATATTCCTAGAATTGCTCATCTTAAATAGGGCTGTAAGTGAAAGGCTAACCAAGGAACCAACGCACCTTCCAGGCAATGGAAAGATGTGCTTAGCTTTCCGATGAAATGCATCCTTATATTTGTGTGGAGAATGGCCCTTTGGTAAAACTGTTTTCACGGCAAGATCTCATTTTCACAGTACAATTGAAAAGGTGGACGTGAAACAGTGCTTTCATTTCCAGATTATGAAAGAAGAAACTGGGAGGTGCAGAGATTGAATGGCTCCTTTACAGTTATCCCTCTTAAACATGCAAGCGGGTTGTAGCTAGAGCAAGTCCCCCAGTCTGTGCTCTTAATTCAGTCTATCGTAGAACTTGGCTTGGAACACTATGGGATGACACATGCCAGGTGGCTCAAATTTTGTTTCACAACATATAATGACATTCCTACAGCACAGTCTATAAATAACCTGCCTCATCCGTTCCATCTAAATAAGTACTATCTATGACAGTTTTTGATGTGATACATTATCTAGACGTTTATGTATTTTATAAAGTGGACAATTGAGTGTTGCCAAGGTCTTAGATAGTTTTGAAATAACTGAGGTCTCATCTTTTACATTCAGAAATCTGCTTTTACCCAGAATGCTACAGTACTCTTTATCAGTTGTTTCTTTTGATGACTTGAAAACTATGAAGTAGAAAATACACATGAACTACGTTTAAAGGAAGTCTTTCTAATAACCACAAGTTTGACTACCATACAACAACACTTCAGACCTGGAGAGATCCAGTCCCCTTTTCCTGGAGAGGACCAGAGAGCAGAGAGAAACATTAAGTGACTGGGTACTGGTACTGTGATTAAAGTTAGTGACAGCCTTGGAATAAAGTGGCATCTGTCACCTTCCTGCCTTTTAGTTGGCCACTCAGAAATGATCAGTTCTATAATCTTTGGTTATGACTGTGGTGGAAATGTCTTAATTGGGCCATCCTAGTTTTACAAATGGATACTGCCAAGGACAAATAATAACTAAAGAAAAGCAACCATTTTTACATAAAACCATGCAGCTCACAAACCTTATCACCTGTATGATCTTGTTATTAGTTATTTCCCAAGTTGGTATTATGTTTCTTCATCATTTTAGAGGGATCTGATCACATCCTTGTGCTAAGTCAAATTCCTAGCAAATGATAGGCCTGGAACTCAGTATCTGCCTCACTATAAGTTATTGCCCTAAACCAGGAAACCCCTAAACACACAGAAAACTTTGGGGACAGAAAGCAGGTAGCAGGACAGATGGATGGATGGGATGGATGATAAATAGGTAGATGAATGAAAGATAGATAGATAGATAGATAGATAGATAGAAGATTTTTGCTCATGTAAGTATTTATTCACTTACAAATACATTGGAGAGACATTTTATATAATGTACCTAAAAATGTATTTACCTTTCTCATGTTTTTGGAGTTTTCAGTATTGATAGATAATGCTACCTCTGAGAGAAATCCCTTCCTACTTGCATGGCTCAATTCAAAACTACCTTACTAAATAAATGGATGTCTATTGAGTTACTCTTTGGACAATCCACAATAGCATACCTTCCTTCCCTCATATGCTCTCCAGCATCATCGGGCACAATTTTAATTTGCAAGTTAAATTTTCAAGTATTATGGTTCATGAGGATAAAAATACCAATCCAAGATAGAACCATTCTCCAAAAATAAAGTTTTATTCATACATAATTTAAGAAATCTAAAATAATTACCTCAAACAATCATGTCTTTTGAATTTAAAGGAGGAGAAATCATTTTAATGATTATATTTTATAATGAATAATTTGTATTCACAGCATTTGTAAGTTGATAAAGTTAGCTTTTAACCAGTAGATCTCTATAAACCTGTAATAATTCAATTGGGAAAGAGAATAAATGCCATTACTAAAATAATTTTTCCAAGGTAAGAGAATGAGTCCATGACAGCTTTTTGTTTGACTGCCAGGGTCCCAAGTCCCCTCCACTCACAGTTACTGTGCTCGAACAATGATGTTCAGACACTATGCCAAGCCTTTTTCCTCATCAGCTCATTTCATTCTCATAGCCCCTTTACAGAGGAGGAATGGTGGTCCCCAGTCCTTAGCTTTCTTTTTCATCCAAAATTCATGGCTATCACTTCTCAACAGTTTGAGAATTCTTTGATCTAAGTTGCACTAAAATGGAAATGAAAGTGAAAAGAAAGGAAAAAAACAGAAACGAATGTGTCTTCAAAGTACAAATTCTTCTAACTTTTTTTTTCTGAGCTTATATATGGAGTTGTTTCCAGGTTTCAAGAATAACCAAGTAGCACTTTTTTTCAGCATTTGACCATTCTACTTGTTGGCAGACTTTTGTAACCTTGAGTCACCTACAGAGAACTGAAGTATGATTCTAATTGATTTCTCACTGCTTACTGAGAAGCCGAGAACTCTTTCAGGGTTCTCATAAATAATTCCATTTCTCTGTGTCAATGTTAATTGAACTTACCTCATGTTGTCAATCTCTCCTTTTTCCTTGCAGGTGATGTCATTGTCTATATTAATGAAGTTTGTGTCCTTGGACACACTCATGCAGATGTTGTCAAACTTTTCCAGTCTGTTCCTATTGGTCAGAGTGTCAACTTGGTGTTGTGTCGTGGCTACCCTTTGCCCTTTGATCCTGAAGATCCTGCTAACAGCATGGTGCCACCCCTTGCAATAATGGAGAGGCCACCCCCAGCGATGGTCAATGGGAGACATAACTATGAAACATATTTGGAATACATTTCTCGGACCTCACAGTCAGTTCCAGATATTACGGATCGCCCACCTCATTCTTTGCACTCCATGCCAGCCGACGGTCAGCTCGATGGCACGTATCCACCACCCGTCCATGACGACAATGTGTCTATGGCTTCATCGGGAGCCACTCAAGCTGAACTTATGACCTTAACCATTGTGAAAGGTGCCCAGGGATTTGGCTTCACCATTGCCGACAGTCCTACGGGACAGCGGGTGAAACAGATACTTGACGTTCAGGGATGCCCTGGGCTGTGTGAAGGAGACCTCATTGTTGAGATCAACCAGCAGAATGTACAGAACCTGAGCCATACGGAAGTGGTGGATATACTTAAGGACTGCCCCGTGGGAAGTGAGACTTCTTTAGTCATCCATCGAGGAGGTAAGACAAAACACCGGTGTGGTGGTACCATGTGTGGGGAGATTAGAACTCTTTATAGTTCAAATGAAGATTTCTAAGGGCTGGCATAAATCATGCCTTTGCCAAAAAGTTAAAAGAGGCATAGAGAAAAAAAATGTGAATTTGGGATCCACGTTTCTGAATTTTTGCCATGTAGCTGTACTTGACTTACTTACCGTGATGGCAGTACTTCAGTCTTAACCAACACAGCAATTTGGATTGGGAGAGTAGAGAATGGGTTCCGGCTATGGATATGTTATGTCCTGTCACAGAGATTCAGTGATGTGTCAGTTGTACAGAACGTGGCCCGTGCCTGTTGATTTACTAAGAAGCCTGCAATCGTAGCGATTATGTGTGGGTGGCAGACCAACAGTGGGGAGGCCAGCCCACTCCTCCAAATGCAAGAGCTCTGATAGTCCTCGTAAGGAGGACTGCGAGCTGGGTTCAAATAAAAAAGGAAGTGTGAACGGGAACATTCCCCTATGATGGGGCACAACTTTCCACCATCATGGGTAACCGTGTCTGCCATGAACTAGGTGGAGAGTGATGGGACTGGGTCAGGACTGGGAGCTCTGAGAACATGAAACACAACTGAAGAGAGTGGCGGGAGCTTTGGATCCCCACTACTCTTCTCTCTTTGTAAAAACTTAACGGGGCAAAGCTAAGGCCCTTTCCTTATTCCTCTGCTGATGTGAGGACAAGGTGCAGAGTGACAGCTGACCTCCCTCCCTAGCAGTTAAGAGGACTCAGGACTTGAAGTCCCCATCCTTGGCTGTGGGACTGTCACAGCAGGGTTATGACTACACCATCTAACCTGATGGTAACAGCAGGTGTAAACCCCACTGCATGTCTGCTTAATCTAAACTGACCCTGGAGCTTCCGCTGAGAAGGGTTAGGAGCAGCACTGTGGCATAGTCATGCATGAAAAACTTGTGTGGCTAACCATACGTGATGGCCTAGTCTCGCTCCAAAGCAGCATGGAAACTGCGAGTCAAAGAAGTCAGAGTTGAAAGAGGTAGCATTTCTGAGCCATTTGGGCTCTCCTCGGAAGTGTTGCATTATTGATTCAGCAAAAACTGTACACTTTGTGAGTGGCACTATACAAAGGTCCCATTTCCAAGGGAAAATTAATATGACAACAAAATAATCACACATTTTACCTCCTCAGGGCATTGTTATAAAATGGCACATGAATTTTGGTAATTAAATGTTGATGGTGTATTTTGACTTCTTGAATTGCTTATTTAAGATTAAGGCAAATGTTTCTAATTTAAACAGCCATATATTCCTAGTGTTCAATTGAAAAATCAAATTTTTGGACAATATTTCTAATATTAAGTGATACAGTGGGAAATCACTGTATTGTAGCCATTGTTTGTCTCACAGAAAGAAATTTAAACACTTTTTTTTTTATAAAATGGTTTCTTTTAAATTGTGGTATAGCAGGAAAATGCTTTGAAATCATTGCTGTTGCTGTAATTTGTGCCTTTCTGGAAACATTTTATTGTGTGTGTGCATGTGTTGAGCTGGGCAGCCTTGATCGCTCTCCCTCCTCCCTTCCCTCCCTCTCTCTGATCACTCACCCAGCCTTGCTCTCCCTCCTCCCTTCCCTGCCTCTCTCTGATCACTCACTCAGCCATCCTCTCCCTCCTCCCTTCCCTGCCTCTCTCTGATCACTCACCCAGCCTTGCTCTCCCTCCTCCCTTCCCTCCCTCTCTCTGATCACTTACTCAGGCCTCTAGTGATGACATTTTGGTCTGCATTTTGTTTGTTCAATAAGGGATACCCTTCCCTTTCTCACTAGTGTGGCACTGTGGAACCTGGAAGTCCTTGTCAACCTATTGAGGCTCCTAGAATTCCTACAGTGCTCACTCTTCTCTGAAGTTAATAGCAGCCCACACTATGTCTGTGTGATATTCATTTTGATTATCTTGTTATAGGCTACTCAGAAGTGCCTATAGCCTCATTCAGATGAGCAAAAACCCTTATTTCAGGACCATGGCTGATTGCCTTCGTTGTTAGTATTTTTATTTACAAAGCAATGTTATGGGTAGTTGAATTTTTTAGTAACTAATTAAGAAAGGATACAATGAAAAGTAATTTCCTGTCCTACCTATACTTTCAGTCTTTTTCCCTACAGGAAACTATATTTTTGTATATGTACCTATAGGAAGTATATAGTCTCATGGCACACATGTAAAACATATAATCTAATATAGATGGAATAACATAAAGTATGTTTTGCTTTAAAATGTCTTGGTTAGAAGGATGTATTTAACTTATTAAATATATACCATTGGTGTAATTTATATACCACATCTGTCAATAACGAGTATATACTTCATGAGTTCTTCAAACATGGTAGAGTTGCACAGTGGGCACTGTTCCTCCTAGAACGGCCCTTTCCCCATTTCCCCTCAGATCAGTTTGTCACCCATCCCCTCTCCCATGTCTCCTCAGATCAGTTTGTCACCCATCTCCTCTATTACCTTCAGCCTCAAGGAACCACTAATCTGCTTTTCTGAATCATTTTACCTTTCAAGAATTTTTTATGACTAACATTGTATAGTACATAGTGTTTTATTTAGCATAATGCCATTGAGAATCACCTAACTGTTCAATGGTATGGACCCTTAATTAACCACTTTGTACCCAAATGCCATCCTTCAAGGGGAGTGCCTTTTGGAAAGTGCCTGGTGGACCACAATACTCACAGTGGGTGCTTATTTGAGTTGTTTTTATCTTTGGGCATTTATGAATAATGTTTTATGAACACTTGGATGTTCTTATTTTAGGGAATAAATACCCAGAAATGGTATTGCTAGATTATATAAAAATATATTTAAACTGTTCATAAATTGTCTAGATGGCTTCCAAAATGGCTAGCTTCTACATTCCCTCAGCAAATACACCGTAACAATATTTGAAGGCCCTAGTTTTTGCCCATTATTTCTCCCAGGTGATATAATAAGTCTTGAGTACAGTCATTCTATTGAGAGTGTACTTCCTAATACTTTTTCATGGTTTTAACTTACATACTTCTGTTCTTTTTACATGTTTTCATATGCCTGTTGGTATTCATAAATTTCTTTAGTAACATATACATTAAATATTTTTCTCAATTATATATTGGACTATTTATCATCTATTTAATCATCTTTTCCTTCCTTCATTTTTGTACTGAGAATTGAAGCCAGGCTAGACAAGTCTCTGTCACAGCTAGATAAATGCCCTATTTGTCCTAAATTACAAAGCTAATTGTATATACAAATTCTGAGTTGATAGATGATTTGCAAATGCTTCCTTCAGATCTGTGGCTTCTTTGTCCATTTTCTCATTAGTGCCTTTTGGGCAGACGCACAGAGGATTGTGGGATTGTAACTGATAAAGTAAAAGGTATCAGGTTCATTTTAACATGGCTCATTCTTTCGATGTCATGTCTTTGCTTAACCTAAAGTTACAGTTTTTCCTGTGTTTTCTTCTAGAAAGTCTAAAGTTTTAGTGCCAATATTTAAATCTAAGCCAGACTAAGTTAACTTTCATGTAGTATTATGGACTTAAATTTATTTTCATTTTCACACATATATACAATTTTTATAGCACTATTTGTTGGGAAAACAACAAATCCTATTTCTCGGTGACTAGCCCTGGCACTTGTGATGAAAATGAACTCACAGAGATGCAGAGGTTTGTTTCCAAACCCTTTATTCAGTTCCCCTGGTCTGCATGTCTATTCTTATGTTAATGTAACACTTACTACATTACAGTGGCTTTGTGTTAAATCTTGAAAATCATTGTGAGTCCTCCAAATTTTTCTCCTTTACAAAACAGTTTTGATTATTCTAGGTCCTTTGCATTTGCATATAAATGGTGATGTTAGAATTGGCTTTTTAATATAAAGTTTTTAGTAAGTCTTAGAATTTCATATGTGTCTGCAATGTATTTTGATCCAATTTATCCCTCAGCCCTCCCTAATTTTTCCCAGGTCCACTCCACCTCCCAAATTCATGACCCCCTAACTTTTTATAGCCCACCAATCCAATTTGTATTACCCACATACCCATATGCTCCAGGGTATAGTGCCATCGACTAGAGCATGGTTGACCTTGAGGACCACACCCTTAAAGAAAGCTGACCCTTCCTCTGAAGAAGCTATCAGCTGTCCATAGCTCCTCAGTTAGGGGTGGAGGCTCATGAGCCCCTAACCCTTTTGTGATAGAATGTTGAGTGATGTGGTCTTGTACAGATCCTGTGCAGGCAACTGCAGGTGCTATGAGTTCATGTGTGCAGTTGTCCTGTCATGTCCAGAAGACACTATTTTGCTTGAATCCTTTCCAACCTCTGGTTCTTAAAATCCAGTCCTCCCTGCTTTCTTTTGAAATGGTCCTAGAGTCTTGTGGGGAAGGGAGTGTGGTGTAGAGTCTCCCTCTGCGGTTCAGTGCTCCACAGACAATGGCTTTGCTCTTATTCAATTCAATAAAGGTTATGGTATTACAGATCAACTTCCTAACTTAGGATTGAACTTTTCAACCTACAAATGGGATATAACTCCTCCTCTGTTTAAATCTCCTTCTGTTTCTCTCAGCAAGGCCTTCATTGTGCAAACCATGGATGACTTTTGCTGAACCTCTTAGTAATTTTGTTATTTTAGATTTATTCTATATCATGTGTGTGAGGTTTTGCTCTCATGTATGTGCATACATCATATGCACACCAGGTACCTGAGGAGCCAGAAGAGGGTACCAAATCCCCTAGAACTAGAGATAAGAACATGTAATCTGCCATGTGGGTGCTGAGAATCAAACCACAGTCTTCTGCAAGAGCAGCCAAGGCTCTTCACAACTGGTTTCTTAATGTCCTTTTCAAATTATTTATGGCTAATATGTGTAAACATATCTGACTTTTGTTGTTCTGAAATATTTCCTGTATAATCATATCATCCAGTAAACTGTGTTTCCCCGCCTTTTCCCTTACTTTTGTTT